CCACTGGCAAACCACTGGCAAACCACTGGCAAACCACTGGCAAACCATAGCAGTCAATACATTGCATTGATGTGTCCTAAAAAATTCACAACACATGTTTTCGGTCCTGCTTCGGACGACGTCCTGTCCATGATCGAACCTTGGGGGTGCCTTTTCGTGCCGAACCAACATATAAACCGAACTCTGTGGAAAAGCTGAGATGAACTTCCCAAGTTGCAACTGCTAGTGACTGGAGAAAGAAAGCAAACCAAAACCAGCTGCCACTCGTTGAATCCCGCCAAAGAGAAAGGAGACACCCAGAACCTCTCCAGTCTTTCCTATCTCTTGCTTTGGTGTCTTTATCCCCACCAAGAAAAGGCCAGATCCTTTCGAAAAGGTGTGTCTTTATCTCCTATGTCTTGGTGGTCATCACCGGAGCAGTGCCTTGGCGATCGCGCTGGAGGAGGCCCCAGTTTCTGCTGGGCCTTTCTTCCGCCGGGCCGGGCCGGTCTCACATGTCACAGGTGTTTCACAGGTGTTTCACAGTTTCGGCTGCATGCAGCGCCCAGAACTGCCCCAAATGTTGTCCCAAACGACACCCTCTCGGATTTCAAGGGTTCCAACCGGGTTTCGGTGGGAGATGAGGACCGTCACAGCGTGAACGCCGCACCGGCCCCTTTTGTTGTTCGACCGAAAAGGACTCCGGGGGCCCCGGTGAAGGTCGTGAAGGTCGTAAAGGTGAGAAGATGAGACTGTGAGGCTCTGGAAGATTGGGGCTGGGAAAGCCCAATCGTCCCCGAAAAAACAAGAGAAAGCCAAGGACATCGAAAAGCAAGGACTCTGTCCGATGCAGGGCCTTCGATTGAGTTTTGGGGTCACTGGAGCTGAGATCGGCGCAGCGCACCACTTTTCTGAGGTTCAAATGCAACTGGTGGACACCTCCTTCTTCCGCGTTGCTGGGCATGGCTTGGATGTAGGGTACAGTCATGTAAAGCCTGGCTGGCAAAGGATTCGGTGTTCTGCTGAGAAAGAGCCACCTTTGGCAATTTCTTCACCTCATATCAGAACTAGATGTTCAGGAGACAACGCCATTTTTTGTTTTGGTGTTGGAAGCGCTCACGTGAGGCTGTCGGTCTTCTGCTGGCGGTGCTCTTGTCCCTCCGTGCAAAGAATGCTGTGTCCAGGCGACAGAAGTTGATGGCAGGCCGGAGACATCCTGGTCGTCGCCAGCAAAGCTCCTAAGCGGGTGCGCTGAGCTGCTGCTTCTGCTGCTTCTGCTGCTGCACCGAATCCTGCGGAGAAGGGTTTTGACGCATGGGAGACTCAAGGGAGCGAAGGTCGGCGTTTTTGCCGGGGTCGAACTGACCGAACTTGACCCGTGGCGCTGGATCCTTGGAGCTATGGTGGGCAAAAAAAGTCGGGGATTCTTTGGTGGGATCATCTCCAAGAAAAGAGTGTAGGTGGAACTTCTCTTTTGGAAAAGTGATTACGCTCTCAGCCTGGTCGTTGATCAATTTCTGGCGATTTCGGGGCAAGGTTTTGGTGAAGCTGAACAAGTCTATCCAAGTTTCGGAAGGGAAACGCCTGCTTTGTCACATTGTTTCACTGCCCACCTGTTTTGGGCAGGAGTCCTGGACATGATGCCTGGCGCAAGTTTGGTAGCAGTTGGGCTGGGCTGAAATTCAGAACTTGAAAAAAGGATCTCAGTCGACCTAGAGTGATTCTGAGAGTCTGACGACAAACCTTCTGCCCAAACCTGGAGATGCACAGATTGCCTGCCCTGCTAGTGGAGTCACAGTCTTTTTAATGTGGAGAGTTCTGTTTCACAGATCCAGTTAAGCTTTCTTTGTGTGCTGTATTGGATGCTCAGTTGAGACAGCCCTGACAGCCTTGACCAAATTTGCTCATCTTCGGTTAACCGGGTTGAATGGTGCTCATTGTACCCTATGTTGGAGCCAGTTTGCCCAATTATCCCACTGAAGCAAGCCCACCAGCCCTGCCTTTTGAGAACGCCACCCACCGTGAAACGGTGGTGAAACGATGAAACCATCGACGCCCGCGGCGCCCTTTGTCTTCCCATTTCGTCCTCAGCGGGTGTCTCTCCAAAAGGAGGAAACGCCAAAGGGTGCGGGAAACGGACAGTACTGTTGTTCCTCAGGATGAACTCTGCCAAGAACTTGCTCTACTTGGTGCATTTCGAGCCCGAAAGTCAAGCGAAGCTCCGCAAGATGCTGGAGTTTTGCTTCTTGGAGGCTCGGGTCAAGTTTCAAAAGCCACAGAAAGGGGATGAGAGGAGAACCACCAGTGACATCGCTTCGACTCGTTCGGGGTACCGATCTCCGGTGCGATCGGTGAGGCGGCCGCGTGGGCCTCCCCTCCGACGACGCCCTACGTGAAACATGGCGACTTGGACATACTGCCTGAGGAGTACAAGGAGGCACGGCAGATTTTGAGGCTTTTGGACAAGCTGTTGCAACTTCGTCGTCTTTGCGGGCCCCTTAGTCGTCTGTGCGTTGGGAATCGGCTGATTGGGGATGATCTGGGAGAGTCTTTCACTGAGAGTCTCATGTTGCTCTTCACTGATCACGCTGAAAAGCACAAATCCTAAACATTGGGCACAATCTCTGCCATGTCACCAGGCAGCCTTCATTTTGCGTGCCAAGCCACCGGAGAACATCTCCCCCCGACCTGTCTTGCTGTACCTCAGGGAGATTTGTGACCAGCCACTTGGAGCAGTCAGAAGAAGAGGGTTTGTCGATCATGGGAAGAAGAGTTCACCTCTACGGTAGAGTCTTGATTCATAAACCCTCCCGAAACAGAGAGTTTACATTACTTGGGTCTGTTCTGTATAGCACCACAATGACCCAAGTCAAAACGGACCGCAGACATGGATTGAGCCCCATGGATTTGGGGTTCCCGGATCGCGAGTTTCCCGTTGTGTCTCCTGTTTTCAGCGGATGGGCTGTAGTCTTTGCAATGCACACTTGACCCTCATCAGATCTTGACAGTTGCACGTCCAAGGTTGACAGAGAACAAGCAATGTTGACAGCGAAGGAAAGCAAGGCAAACGCAATAAAGATGAATTCACGATCACTCGGACATTCTTCTGGATGCCACAACAAGATTGGAGTCATTGAAGTCAGTTCAGGACAACAAGCAAGAAGGCAAGTCAGTTCGGTTGATGGGTCATGATGGGTCATGATGGGTCATGATGGGTCATGATGGG